AGAAGTTTCGTGATTTTAATTCTTACATTTAGACCTATCCATTTTGAGTTAAGATTTATACGAGGTGTGAGCAGGTCAGGCTTTCTTTTTTTCTTTTTTGGTTATCTAGTTGGTCTAGTGCCATTTAAAAAATAAATAAATAAAGATCTTCCTTTCCCCAGGTGAATTACCTCGGAGCCTTCTTTGAAAATCATTGACCAGACATGTGTGGGTCTATTTTTGGATTCTGGCCCCGCTACTTTTTTTCTTGTACAGAATTGATATAGCATCTTCCTTAAATGTCTGGTAGACTTTAGCAATGCTCCTCATCCCTTTGTGTAGATCACAGCTTCCACTTGGTGTTATTTTCCTTCTGCCTAAAGAACGTCTTTACCATTTCTCATCTGGCAGTTCTCTGAGCCATGCAGCCTCTCAGCTATCCTTGGTCTGAAAAGTCTTTATTTCTCCTTCGTTTTTTCCTCCAGAGTCTAGCAAAGAGATTTTTATTCCATATTTTGTCATATAAACGTTCACAGAAAAGTTGAAAGAATTATAAGTGACCCATATGTTGGGTTCTACGGTGGACGTTGGTGGGTTTGCTCTATCACGCATCCAGCCATCGATGCATCTCTCTGTTCACCCACCAACCGTCTTATTTTGGGATACCTTCCAAGCAGGTTGCCAACTGGAGTACCCTTCACCCTTAAGCTCTTCAGCATAACAAAAGATTTTTTTTCCGGTATAGGGTTTGGCCACTAGAGGGCTTCCAGGTGCCATAAAGAGCACTAGAAAGTAATGTCCTAAAGTGTCACATCCTGGGGACATTCCAGAGTGCAAATGGCATCAATGAAAAGGAGAGAATCACCCTGCGATCCAGCGAGAAGGTTGTAACCGTTTGATCAGCGCCCTCAGACCGTCTTCCTCTTTTTACAGCCACTTTCGTTATAAAAGAGAAAATGCAACCTTGACTCCTCCTTCCTTCCAACGCTTTGCGCTGTTGAAGGGAACAATTCTTCAGATCGGTCTCCAGAAACCTGACGAAGTCAGGATGTTATTTGGATGATAACCAGGCTTAAACATGTGCCCATTTGTCGATTGCCACTTCCGTGAGGGCGGGCTGAGTAGATCACATCCCCAGGCATCCCCAGCAGGCCGTATAGATAGACTCGGCCAGGCCCACGTCAGTGCTCCATAAACACTTAGGGAAGGAGTGAAGTCAAGTGCTCCATCCGAATATGGTCTTCACACGTTTAATGTCATTACTAATCAAAGTTACGACAATTAGCCTGCTTTTGAAGGTACAGGACTCAAACAGCTACATAATATCATAGATACGCTACATTTCAAACGGGGGGGGAAAAAATCTAAATTGTAACTTTTTTCCAAACACATGAAGAAATCTTGAGGATTTCTCTAAGAAGTTCTTATTGTCATTATTATTACTATTTACAAAAAGGAGCCTTAACAGAAAACATGAGCCCAGTTGCTTGTCCTTGAGCGGGGCTGCCCCCGTGCACGGGGGGCCACGGTTTCCAGACGAGACTCGAGAATCACATAAGCCTTCATCTTGCCCCCACTCCTTCACGTCTGAACGGTATTGTCATCGGGTATAGAATTCTAGGCTGTTTTTAAAAAAATTTTCAATACTTCAAAGAGGCCACTCCATTATCTCTTGCCTTGCAGTTTTGTGGAGCTCTGCTGTCATCCTTGTCTTGTTCCTGTCTAGATGCGTCTGTTTCCTCTCCAGCTGCCACGTTAACCCCATGACTGTGGGTAGCGACCCCCGTTCATCCTTGGCTTCAGCTTCTTGCTCAGTCCCGGGCACACAGCGGGCTCAAATATTGCTTGATAATTCCTCAAGGCGTTAGTGTCCCTTCCCATTTCTCAGAGAGTCAACCACACATGT